GTATCGAGGTGTACTGTTGTTGCTTGGATATAAGTCGTAGCAAATGATGGCAATGCCTAATGCCTAATGCGATTCTTTATCAGAATTCCCGTACCTCTATGAGCCCTCCCATCAGGATGATTTGTCAAATAAAATGTATGGCCAGTAAGATAAAAATTGTTTTTATTTGTTAAGTGAGGCTCTGATATGAGCATGGCGTCAATGTCGTAATGATCAAGGAATTGCGTGAGCTCGTATTTGTGCTGTGAAATGGCAATCGCATTCCAGAAAAATATTTTAAGAGTAATTATCTAAACAGATTTTTGTTTGATAAGAAGATTCAGGAGGAGATTTTGAGTGCGCACAAGCTGCTGCAGCGTTTGCTGTACTGCTCCCATTGTTTTTGTTATAGTTGCCAGCATTAATTCTATACCACTTGGTAATTGGGATGTGTTTACGGAGATACTTTTTCATCTCCTTATAAATATGGTAAACCTCTGCAGTTGGCCGTGTGGTTTTCCGCACAGTTGCTACATCTTTTGGCAGATTGGTCCTCTTTATTTATCTATTATTTCAATGATTTGAACTTTTGATTCAATTCCTTTGATAACTACTTGTAGCTCTTTGCTACTTTTAAGGTTGGTAGGTATAGTAATTTATTTTTCCATGTCTAGGTATTTGGCCACTATTCGATAATCTTGTTCGTCGTTTACCTGAACAAAATCGTAGAGTAAAAGGGTATATTGTATTCGTGCAAAAGTATGTAACAGGTAGAAGGAAGCGTTTCCGACCCTATAAAGTATATATATTCTTGTTCAGGTTCACTAGCCGAGTCGATCTAGCCATGTCCGTCTGTCGGTCCGTCCGTATGAACGCTGAGATCTCAGAAACTATAAAAGCTAGAAGATAGGCATTTTGCATGTAGATTTTAAGAGTTCCTACGCAGCGCAAGTTTGTTTCAAAATGGTGCCACGCTCCCTCTGACGCCCCCAAGCCACAAGCTGTGGCCACAGTTCTGATATTGTAACGATTTTGCCGCCGTGGAAGGGCGGATCTCGTCACGGAAAGCCGAGCGGAACTTCTTTTTAGATCGGTGTGGTGTCACGATCCCGTCAATGCCCACTCCCTCGCCTAAGCTCCACCAAATACACACGCGTAGTTCTTAATTATTTCGCAGCTTTATTGGGTCTCCTACTCACAGAGCGCACGAGGCGCCATGTGCTTTTTTTCTGATCTCGTTTTTAGAAGAAGGAAGAAGGAATCAAGGAATAAGGGAACAGAGAGAAAATAAAGAGACCAGGCAGCCGGGCTGTCAAAGTCTCATTTTTGGCGCTGCTTGAAGCGTTGCCACCTAGCCGACTATCGAAAGCCCAAGGTTTTCGGAGGCTTTCGTTACATTACCCCCCTCTCAGACTCGAGTCTCCTCGCCGAGTACGGCTGGACTTGGGCCTCGGTAAGGGGCCAATCGGTTGACATGGACGGTCCTGGTGGCACGCTTCCCTGGTAGTCGTATCTCGTATACCAGGTCGGAGTGACGGCGGGTGACGACGGCGGGTCCAATCCAATCAGACTGCAGTTTCGGGCATCGGCCCACTCTTCGTGTAGGGCAGTAGAGCCAAACCTCTTCTCCAACGGCGAATTCAACTGGATGCGATCGAAGGTCGTAGCGTAACTTGTTAACGTTAGCGGCTGCCATCAAGTTTCGTCGTCCAATCTGTTGTGTGAGTCGGAGGCGATTCTGCAATTGTTCCACGTAGGCGGGATAACTCTCCGGATGAGGGGATGGTCGACCATACAGCAGTTCGCTCGGTAGCCGGAGTTCCCGTCCCAGCAGCAGTAACGACGGTGAAAACCCAGTTGCCTCATGTGGAGCCGATCGATAGGCCCAGAGAGCTAGCGGCAACAGTTGGTCCCAGTCGCGTTGATCGGTCGCAACAAATTTGGCCAGGTAATCCAGGAGGGTCCGATTAAATCTCTCGACCATCCCGTCCGACTGAGGGTGTAGCGGTGTGGTGCGAGGAGGCGTAGGCAAGCTTGGAATACCTCTGATTCGAAGTTGCGGCCTTGGTCCGAGTGAAGGATAAATGGGGCACCAAAACGGCAAAACACTTCTTGGATGAGTGCTCGAGCTACAGTTTCGGCGGTTTGGTTGGGAAGGGCTATGCACTCCGGCCATTTGGTGAAGTAGCACATCACCACAGCGATGTAGCGATTTCCGTGAGTGGTAGTTGGCAGAGGGCCGAGTATGTCGATCGCAAGTCGTTCAAATGGAGCACCTAGGACGCGGGGTTGTAGTTGTCCCACTGTACGGCGAGTAGGTCCTTTTCTGGCATTGCATTCGGTACAGCGTGCGCACCAAAGGGCTACGTCTGCAGTCTGTCCGATCCAAAAGTAACGTTGCTTGAGCTTGGCGACTGTCTTCTTAATTCCGAAGTGTCCGCCGGTGGTAGAGTTGTGAGCGCTGCGCAGAGCTTCTTCCTGAAGTGAGCGAGGCACTACCAAGGCTTCGTCCGCTGTTTTGGTTTTAATCATCAGAAGACCCCTTTCCACGAAAAGGTGTTCGAACGAGTGCCAATACGCTTTTGTCTCGGGGCTCTCACTCCATGTTGTGGATTTAGTTGGTCGTTCTCCTGTTTTTAACCACTGCAGGATCAACGACAAAGTGGGATCTTTTTCCTGGCTGATAGCAATGTCGACTGGTTGGGCCTGTAAGAACAAAATCCCTTGACCATCGTTTTGTTCTGCCTTAGTGCATATGCGGCATTCAGCACAGGGGCGGCGAGACAGGGCGTCGGCGTTACCGTGCAGCTTGCCACTGCGGTGCTGGATATCCATGTTGTATTGCTGGAGGCGTTCAATCCAGCGAGCGAGTTGTCCTTCGGGTTCCCGAAAGTTGAACAGCCATCGGAGAGACGAGTGGTCCGTGCGCAGCAAGAATTTCCGGCCATATAAATAGTGATGGAAATGTTTGGTAGATAGAACCACGGCTAGCAGCTCTCTCCTAGTTACGCAATAATTGCGTTCGGCAGCATTAAAGGATTTACTGTAATACTCCAGTACATGCTCCTGTCCTTCTTGTTGTTGACTGAGTACAGCGCCCGCGCCATGGTTTGACGCATCTGTATCCAAAACGAATACACCATTATAAGTGGGAAACGTTAGAATGGGCGGTGTAGTGAGCTTAATTTTAAGGGTTTAAAGGCATCGTGAGCCGATGAGGTCCATGTGAAGGCACGCTTAGTTTCCGTTAGTTCATGTAGCGGGCGAGCGATGGTGGCGAAGTCCGGGATGAATTTGCGGTAGTAGGAACAGAGGCCCACGAAGGATCGTACCTCTTTCTTGTTACGGGGGTGACCAATCGATGACTTTTCGAATCTTTTCCGGACACGCCCGTAAGCCTTTGTGGCTAACTATGTGGCCCAGGTAACTAACCTCGGTTCGGAAGAAATGGCATTTGCGGGGACTCAGCTTTAGTCCTGCGCTTTGCAATTTATCCAAGACTTGTTGCAAGTGGTCCAGATGGTCTTCCGCTGTCCAAGAGTACACAATGATGTCGAGGTAAACCAGTGTGTATTTCCAGGCATGTCCGGAGAATAGGCCGTCCATTAAACGCTCGAAGGTCGCTGGCGCGTTGGTCAGGCCAAACGGCATCACGTTAAATTCAAAAAGACCGGCATCACACGTAGAAGCGGTCTTGGCTCTTGAGGCGTCGTCCATTTCCACCTGCCAGTAACCGCTCTGAAGGTCCATTGTGGAGAACCAACAGGCGCCGTGCATCGTGGTTAAGATGTCATCCATCCTTGGTAGGGGATAAGAATCCTTGATGGTGATATCGTTTAGACGTCGATAATCCACACAGAACCGGGTAGAACCGTCCTTTTTCCTTACTAGAACGACCGGTGAGGCCCACGGGCTCGTGGATGGGCGAATTATGCCTCTTAGCTTCATGTCGGCAACCAGTTCTTCCACTTCAGCCTTCCTTGCCAGCGCAAGACGACGCACTGGTTGCTTGATAGGCCTAGATAGACCCGTATCGATCACATGGCGGGTTAGGTTGGTATGCCCGGAGTCGTCATCGCTTCGGGCAAACACTCGCTGGAAGCGGTTCATCAAGGCCGTCCACTTGGAGCGAAGAGGGGGTGGCAACTCGGTGGGTACCTCCTCATTGTGGGAGGTTGCTTCATCGTTTCCGTCTTGATCCTGAGGGGTTTCCAGAACCTCTACTGCTTCCACTTGTCCCACAATTGTTTGCGCTGGGAGAACATACGTGTGCGCGCTGAGATTTACTAGATGCAGTGTGCTGGTGTTGGTCGTGGTGTCCAGCAGGGTGCTGCCTAGTAGAATTTTGGGGGGCAATTGGGAGTGAGCTCCACGTTCCAACAGAGCTGCGGGCAGTTGCTCCTCCGACATGCATCGAACCGTTAAGTGGGTGTCGCTATATGGCAGGATGTTACCTGGCGCGGTCGAATAAAGTAGATTTCGCTGTTCCGTAGTCGGGGCATATAGCGGCAAGGATCCCCACGGGAACCGTAACTGAAGATCTTTCAAGTCTACGGTTGCCTTATATTGCAGCAGAAAGTCCATGCCTAACAGGCTTGGGGTGCTGCCTTCCACTAGCAGGAATTCGTGTTCAACTGGCCTTCCGGCAACAACAAGTTGAGCGGCGACTCGTGCGGTTGCCACGAATTTCTCGGCTGATGGTCCCTGCAGAGTCACGCGGCAAGGTGCACTGGGTAGTCGCTTTGGCGAATCCCGCTCGTTTAGGAGGGAGACGGCGGCACCAGTGTCGACGATCAGCCGTATAGGATGTTTCTGTAAGAAGATCAAACAATGTAAATGTTGGCCTCCAACGGCACTACAGGTATACGTAGCTTCGGCGGGCATAGACTGGCTCCCGCGATGGTCATATTGTATAGGGTTTGTAGTTGTCCGTTTCGCCGCGATTGACGGCATTAGTGGCATCTTTCCGGATGGGTGTTCAGCGAACAATCGGCCCAAAACGGTGTCCACGGGGGGTGAATTCAGTTCAGTTCTTCTCCTTCAGCAAGCGGCGGCGGTAGTTTCCCATAGGACTCGGCGGCGGCGGCATATCGGATGGAACCGGTTTCTAGTGGAGCGGGCGGCGGTACGTTGGCGATCTCGCCGGACGGCGGCTCCGGGGTAAGATGTAAACTCGTTGGTTTACGTAGGGTGCGGGCGCTCCGGAGTGGGGCAAACTCTATTTCCTGAGATTGTGCGGCACTTTCTTTGGGCGGCGGCAGTAAGGGAAAGGGGTCCACGATGGCTTCGACTCCACTTGGAGGAGCATTTAGTTGGGCGCCGGGTTGCTCGATTGGCGGCGGCTGTAAGAGCACGGGGGCCACGAAGGTTTCAACTCCATTTGGAGGAGCATTTAGTCGGGCGCCGTGTTGCTTGGTTGGCGGCGGCTTCTGCAACGGCTGCGAACGGACGGCCTTCGTTTCGTCGTAAGGTGGGCCCGTTCTGGCAGCTACTTGGTGGGGAGGTCTCGACTGTTGGGAACCCGTCGGTCGGCGTGCTGTGTGGGTATTCCGGTTCGCTGTAAGCTCGATGTCCGTGAACTGCGCGGCACTCTCTTCGGGCGACGGCTCTGGGGGCAAGGGGGCCACGATGGCTTCCACTCCATTTGGAGGAGCATTTAGTCGGGCGCCGGGTTGCTCGGGAGGCGGTGGCATCGAGTGGAGGTGCGGCGGGGCGTTACAGGTGTTGGAACCGGATTCAGTAACCCGGGCAGGCGCGGTGAGCGATTGAGGGTGAGCCGGAGACGTACGGTGGTTGCGGAACCGCCGTTGGGGAATGGGGGGGGTGAGCGGCTGCTCACTGGGGCTTACGGTGTTGACTGTCAACCTGCGCCCCGAGAGGCTGACCGTAGCTAGTTTCCCGATAGCGGCACGGAGTTAGTGGAAAACCCCGGTCCTCTCGGGTTATGGCTTCCTGATCCCCGGGCTCTTCTTCCTGGGGAGACTAGGGGATCTTCTATGGTTTCGGCAGCAAAGTTCATTACTGCGGCGGCTGTACGTCGTCGGCACTGGGCTTCAATGCGGCACGCCATATCGAGGGCATCCGTTAGAGAGCGCGGGTGGCTGCTAATGATAGGGACCTGGTATCCCGTCTCGCGTATCCCGTCGATAAAACGCTGCACGATGATGCTGTTGTAGGTGGCGGTTGGTAACTCCCCAAATAAAGCTCTGCCCAGGCGTTCCAGCTCTAGTGCAAAGTCCTCGAAAGACTCTCGTGGTCCCTGCATACGATTGTGGAAAGTGTGATAGCCAGTGTGCTTACTGATTGTAAAGTATTCGCGCATGGCGGATGTCAGGGAGTTGTATGAGCTGAGAGTGGCTTCTGGTAGGGTAGCGTGAAAACGCTGAGCACGCCCACGCAGACTCGTATACAACTTTCTGCACTTCTTCCTCTCTGACCAGTGGTATTCTTCGGCCATGTCGTCCAGTAGGCGTTGAAATTCGGGCCAGGGACGTGTTCCATCGAAGGTAGGAGGCGGCTCTGTATCCGACACCTCCAGAATTCCCCATTGTGAGGTTATGTCTCCGACTGGACGATGGGCAGCCATCGACGCGGTCCCTGGAATGCCGTCCATTCTCCGTGGAAACACTTGCTGCGGCTGTCCTGAACCGGCATTGGCCATTTCAGCTAAGCACGGGGTGCTGGCGGAGTGTCGCTCACCCCCAGTTTTGTTCACGCCTTCGCTGTTGCCCAGCATGGTCCTCTCGAACGTCGCCCACATTTGTTCGAACTTTTGCTCGAACTTGAGGTTGAGCGACTGATCCAACGCCTCCACTTTTTGTTCGATAAGGCGGAACGAGCGGTTGATGGCGCGGCCCACTGCATCCAGCGCGGCAGCTCCATCCTGCGGATCTTCTAAACTACACCCTGCTGGCGATGCTTGACGGCGGTGGCGGGAGGAATTCTTAGGCATTTTGACGCAGGTCAGGGTTCTCGCAAACCCTAGTGACCCCACACCTGGCACCAATGTAACGATTTTGCCGCCGTGGAAGGGCGGATCTCGTCACGGAAAGCCGAGCGGAACTTCTTTTTAGATCGGTGTGCGGTCACGATCCCGTCAATGCCCACTCCCTCGCCTAAGCTCCACCAAAAACACACGCGTAGTTCTTAATTATTTCGCAGCTTTATTGGGTCTCCTACTCACAGAGCGCACGAGGCGCCATGTGCTTTTTTTCTGATCTCGTTTTTAGAAGAAGGAATCAAGGAATAAGGGAACAGAGAGAAAAATAAAGAGACCAGGCAGCCGGGCTGTCAAAGTCTCATTTTTGGCGCTGCTTGAAGCGTTGCCACCTAGCCGACTATCGAAAGCCCAAGGTTTTCGGAGGCTTTCGTTACAATATTATGAAAATTTTAATTGATATGTATTTGTTTCGTCAATAAAAATCGATTGGCCTAATAAAAGTTTGCCACGCCCACTCTAACGCCCAAAAACCCATTAAACGCTTAAGACTGGCAAGCGCCTGCATTTCCGCCCCTCATGGCCCGTGGTAGATGGCGCAATACAATAGCGCCATCTAACAGGTGACTTTGGAACAGCTGGCCAAGATGCTCAACAGAGTCAACGTTAATTCTCGATAAGGATTTCTATTAAAGGAAATTGCGATGATTTTCATTTGTCAATACCGAACTATATCCCAAGAACTATGCAAATCAAATCTAGTGAGCCAAATTGGAGGTCTGAGTCGAACAATGGCGTATGTATGTATGTATGTAAGCATATACATATGTATGTATTTACATTGTACACAGTTGCAATTGCCCGGCAAAGATAACTCCTTTCAAAGAAAGCTATTCGCTATACCCGTTACTCGTGTTGTGCAAACATTTAGACTTTAATATACATCATACTATTTAAGAATGTATGTGTTTAGCCAATATAAGTATGTATGTTTAATATTTCTAGTCAATTTATTGCACTCAAAAACATAAACATAAACACAGCTGCTGGTGCAGGACAAAAGCTGCCTGCGCTAAAGCAGAGCTGGTGCTGTAAAGCTGCCAGCACTAAGAGATCGCCGAATTCAAATTGATAATTTGAACTTTTTGTCCTTTTTTCCTCTGGTCACTATAATTCACATTGTTAAAAAAAAAAAAACAAAAAAAAACACAAGAAGGCTTAAATATATTTAGTTGTTTAGCTGAGTAACGGGTATCTAATAGACGAGGCACTCGACTGTAGCGTTCTCTTTTGTTTTAAGTTATGTTTCCTCTTTTTATAGAAGTGACATAGAACTTGTTTGCTCCAATTTGGTCAGTTATAATTTTGGTCAAAAGTGTGCAACGCAGTGAAGGAGATAAAGTATATATATTCTATATTGTATATAAATTATGTTTTTCGGTTCGGAATATATTAAAAAAAGCGATTTTTATTTTAATATATAGCGGAGTCTTTATTGGTAAAGTTCTTTCAAGTTAGATCCCCAATCTTAAACTGATTTTACAAAATGCATTATTCTTATAGCTATGGCTTCTACCGGTGACAGCGCGCGAGCAGCGAAAGTGGACTTTGATTAGATAATTTTGATTGGTCAAAACTGTGGCCTGATGGGTTGGTTTCTAGGCTGCATCTTTTGTTTAATTAATTTGGATTGGCCAAAGCTTTTATGCTAACGAATGGGTTCTCAGGCTGGACCCTTTGTTTAAAGGTCTGAATATTGTTTATGTCTGCCGTCGGTGATAAAGGCGTGTGAAGTGTTTATAATTCGGATGCCGCCGATCGAAGGCGTGGGAAAGATTTATGTCTGTCATTTAATGTTGGATTGATTTGAATAACTGTAATAGTAGGCTCTGGACTTATGTTATTGACAATTGTTAAATGTTTATGTCGGATTGATTTGAATAACTGCAAAAGTAGGCTCTGGGCTTATGTTATTGACAATTGGAATAATGGGTATCTCTGGATATACAGGTTGTATGTTGGGTTTGGTAGCTAGGGTATTTGCGTATACGTCACTCGCCCCTCCTTTAGAAGATTCAACATCCTTGTTGAATTTAAACAAAATTTCTTTTTTGTTGGCTAGGCGCCTATAGGTAAATATGATGTAAGTTGTGATGCTTAAAAGTATAATTATTAATATCGTAAAAACAACCCACTTATAGATTGATTCTTGTTTTTGTTGATGGGTAATAGAATTTTTAAGTTTTAACAATCGTATTGGTTCATATAAAGTAACATTAGTGCTGGATAATATAATTTTATATTCATTTATATTCTTTGAAGTTGTACATTTTATATCTCTTATTTCTAAGGAGCATTGACTTAATTGTATTAGATTGTTACCCTGAATTGTTTTGTTGAACATTTCGCAATCTTGCTTTATTTGTGTTTCACTTAAATTATAAGTAATAATGATGTTAGGTTCAATGTATTTTACAGATTCATTTTCTGATACAAAAGTGTGTTGACATTTTGCTAATTGATTAGTAAGGATTTGAGAGATACATTGATCCGTGATTATAAATTTTTGGTCTAATATAGTTGTTAATGAATTTGGTGAATTTTCCAAGTAAAATACCTTTTTTTCGTTGTTTATAAAATATTCATAATTGTCATTAATGTCAATTTGTCGTCCGATATTATCTGGGTATTTTATAATTCTATATTTTTGTGTTTCTTTAGATGAAGTGGGTATATGGGCTAGAATAAAAGTGTCTTTAGTTTGACTGCTTAACCAAGCTGAAGTTTTGATTGATAGTAATTTTTCTTCGTTTATGTTCTCTAACTCTTCATGTTTTAATATTTTAGGATTAAATATTCCTACTCTTGTTAATTGTAAACTCATTTGTAAATCCTCAATGTATTCTAGAAATATATTTAGGGAGTATCTAAAAATGTGCAAAGCATCTTCCTCTTCTTCATCTCTTACGAGTCTGTTTATATGTTTGGATTGCTCCTTTATTATTTGAATTATGTCATTAAATTCTTTGTTTTCAATTATTTTTTCCTGTAAGTTTTCTAGTTTATCTTCCAACTCCTTTTTATCATCTTCAGTTAATGTTCCAAATAGATATTTGTAAGCTATTCCTACAAAGTTGATTAATCCCCGTTTTTGTCTTTGTGACGAAGTAATTCCCTTGATTTCATGTTTTAATTGTTTCAATGTTAAAGCAATGTCCGGTACGTGTATAAATTGGGTTTCGTATTTTATAAAATCTTGATATGTTTCAAATATTTTAGTTTGATTTATTTTAATCATATGGTGTTCATAATTTAGAGGTATTTTTATAGTCCCTGTGTTCAGAAGTAAATAACCGTTGTTCGAAGTAATGGGTGTAATGCTAATTTGTTGAGCTGTTATCAATGGTATTTTCGTCCATGTCAGTATCATGATCAATTTCAGTATCAGAGTTAGTACTGTCAGTATCCCTGGAATGATGAGAAAGATTATGCATTTTAGCTTTTTTGAATTAACTTCTGTGTTTTATTACTTTATGACCCCTATTAGTTTCTTGCCAGTGCTTTTCATCTTTTTGTTCTAATGCTCCTGTCTTTTTGAATGGGTTTACTAATTTAGCTTTACGTTTCATTTCTTTTTCAACTTTAGCATATTCCAAATCTATTTCATGTTCCTCGCGGTTTTTATTAATTTTATCTATCTTGTATTCTTTCCGTTTTTGTATATTTTTGTTCGGTTTTATGCCATAAAGAAATATT